CCACATTAATTAATAATTTAAACCTTCAAAATAAAAAACACTTGTCTAATACGTACTTCCACTTTTGAGGAAGTAGTAATCATTAGAAAATACGTTAAATTTTGACAATTTTTTATTGTTCACAGTAATTTACAAACAATATTAATAAATTTAAAACGAATAAAATTTCCTTAATATAAATAATTTTTTAATATTTCTTTTAATAGACCTAAGTAAAACAATAATCGTGTGGGGGAATGCAATATATAATAATTAATGCACGAATTAATCTCTACACTCCTTAAATCTTAAAAATATTTTCAGGTCTATTAAAAATTGTCGTTTAAAATCTATGCATATGGAGTCAGGAGAAATTATTTTATTCTTGATAGTCCATTTTAAAACTGTCTGTTAAATACTGCTTTTATTTCAATAATTATTTTCTGCTTTTTAATCTTGTGTGCGAAATTTTTCAATTGAACCAGTTTGAGAAGATTGTTACAGAGACGTTATAAATTTCAAATTTCAGATAGCGATTCTAGAAAGTTATTATTGCCCTATCGGCGAGTTCTGAGCTATGACAACAAAACGAGTTAAGAAAAATACAGACAAGTTCGAGATTCGCGTCCTGAAGGTTCCGTATTGATATTATTGCTGAAAAGTTTGGTAAGAAGTTACTTAATAAGATTATCTATTTTTGTTCAGTATTGTGATGATTGAAGAAAATGGACATCACCATATTGCATATCAAGTCAAATAAATTCCAATATTTTCTTTTAAATTCCCCTTCTCGATTCTAGGTCGATGCGTCAATGGGAAATACCTAACGGGCTTCGATGAGCAATAAGTTGACAGCATCGACAGATGGAAATAAGGAGATCCTATAAAGTTTCCGATTTTTCATTTCGGGGTATTCAAAGCGCGAATATTGAATATAAAGAGCGTCTTAAAAGATAGTGTTAAACGAAAGCAAAAAAGCATAAGATTTCGAGGATTACCTGAAATATTAATTCACATTTTATCACTATGGCGGATAACGCCACCGTGTTTAATTTAAAAACATATATCTGTCTAATCATTATATTACACCCTTTTGTAAATATTTCAGATACCTGAATTCTTTTGTGTATAATTCTTTGTGCCTCTGCGTCTTTGTAAATATTTCCAATCGATTTTTTGTATCTGTCTTTCTATTATCCTCTGTGTAAAAAAAAACTTTTGGGTGTTTCATTCCCACCAGCCAGTAATAATAGCGGGCGGGCAGTCCCCCCGGATTACGCCGGAAGGTAGGGCGGAAGACCCTCTTCAGCCTACTTTCAGGAATCGTGGGAATGGGTGGGTGGTGGTTCTGGTGAGATAGATGAGACGGACGAAATGAAGACAGAAGAGAATGAAAGATTATCTGGGATATAACTGCCCCAGCATTTGCCTAAGTGATCTAAGGAAACCACAGAAAAACTTGGACCAAGGCAGATGGACCCGGAATCGAACCGGCGTCCTCCCGAATGCTAAGCAATGATCTAAATCTCTAGGCCATACCACTCGGTTCTCTGTGTAAATAATGCGAACAGCTTATTCAAATTCTTTTATTGTATCAATAACTTTAATTACTTGTACTTTTCTGTAATCCCTATTAACATTTCAGCTACACATACTAACCCCATGCCGTCAGTAGTTAACATCCTTTTCTAATTACAATTTTACGATGGGTATTCTTCGGTGATCTGGGACTACATTCTATTTCTTAGTATTTTTTATCCTTAGAATTTTCCAATCTTCTTACTAGCCTATTAGTACCCTACTTTCATCCACCAACTATTAGCTCCTCCTTCCCAATTTCTCTTCATCTCCTTTTCATAACTTAGTCAGTTCTTATCCCGTCTTCCTACCTTCTGGTACTGCTTCCTACATTTCATAAGTCTTATCGCCGATCATCTTTTCTTGTTAAGTTTGTAAATATATTATTGTGTTGTTGTCTTGTTATTTCTTCGTTATTAAGTCCTCCAAATACTCTCACAAATTATAAAGTGGCCAACGTGCTAAATTGATGTTTTGATGTAGGCGTTATTTTTTCAGTTCGTTTATCNTTGTATCAATAACTTTAATTACTTGTACTTTTCTGTAATCCCTATTAACATTTCAGCTTCACATATTAACCCCATGCCGTCAGTAGTTAACATCCTTTTCTAATTACAATTTTACGATGGGTATTCTTCGGTGATCTGGGACTACATTCTATTTCTTAGTATTTTTTATCCTTAGAATATTCTTACTACCCTATTAGTACCCTACTTTCATCCATCAACTATTAGCTCCTCCTTCCCAATTTCTCTTCATCTCCTATTCATAACTTAGTCAGTTCTTATCCCGTCTTCCTACCTTCTGGTACTGCTTACTACATTTCATAAGTCTTATCGCCGATCATCTTTTCTTGTTAAGTTTGTAAATATATTATTGTGTTGTTGTCTTGTTATTTCTTCGTTATTAAGTCCTCCAAATACTCTCACAAATTATAAAGTGGCCAACGTGCTAAATTGATGTTTTGATGTAGGCGTTATTTTTTCAGTTCGTTTATCCAGGGTACACCTGAACGGTTCTGTATCAGCCTCAAATCAAATCAAATGGCTGCCCAATCAGGATTTGTTATAGATGCAAAATTTTTAATATTGTGTCCACCACCACTTGCCAACTGTGTCAGTATTTTTTCACACAATAAATTTTCTCGTCCCGCATGTTTGGCTAATCGGTATGTGACTTTTTCTTCATTGGAAACCATTAAACCAAACCCCAGTTCTTATATTTTGATCATATAATCAAATAAATACTTCATAGAACGCCTGATTGCTTACTTTTTGAATGCACATTCTCGTAGTTTCGATAAGATAGACCTTTATCGTGGGATGTTTTTCGCATTATTATCCTAAGAAATAACAAGTAAGTTCGCGACAGATCATAGGGACAAGTTCTTGGATTTTAATTATTATATTATTCCATATTTACAAATTGTTGTTTTCATAATTACTTTTTCAAATAAATCCAAGAACAAGTGTTAAAAATTCCGCTAGTTGTCACTTAAATTAGACTTGGGCAATTAACTTCAAATAGCTAAGAATTTGCCCACGTAATGCAAGCAGCTGTGATACTTGGTTATTTTTCTTAGCGTCACAGAGCTGTTCTATGGTTAGTATTCTGTAATAAACTGTTAATTGAAAAGCTTGTTGTAATAACTTCTTTCATAAACAAAGGCAAGGAAATTCCGGTTGGCATGAGCATACCTCTTCTTACTAAGATTCCTAGACATGCTTCGACAATCCGAACCCAAGATTGTGCTGAGTTTTCATATTTTTATCACTCATTTACCTATATCATGAATTTACCTGACTTTATCTTAATCTACACACTAATTGCTCCTATTCTGATCGTTTTTTATCTATACTGACCGAAAATTTATTTACGTACTGATTAAGCTAGTGATCATATAAATTTATATATAGATTACACAATGTTAGCTTTACTATGAACTCTCCTATATTTTCTGTATCTCCCAGAAGTCCT